CAAAGATGTCGCGAAGAAAAAGGCTCGCGCGCGCGCGGTGACTTCGACGCGTGGAAAGTAGTGCTCTCGCGCGCTATTTCGGTCGGGAACGGGCCTTTGTGCCGGGCTGTCCTCGATCGGTCGTCGACGACGTTTCAACTTCGGCTGGGACCTCATTGTCGAACGATGAATAACCGACTCGCGCAAGTACCCTGAATCACGCGCCTCTTCTTCTCCGGCGAAGAGCGCCGGAGATGGGGAGAGCGAGGGGTGAGAGGGAGGGAGGGCCGGGCGCCGAAGAATTTTCGCGATGTCGGTCGCGCATTATGCGCGCGGACCGTTGAGGCCCCGAAAAACAATGGCATTTGCATCATAAGCGAACGCGACGCGTTTCTGTTCGCTTGACCCGAATCTCCGTCTTCGCCGCGCTCGCCACCGTCCCTTCCCTCTCGCCCCCTCCCCCCGCTTCTCCTAACGAGCGAGCAAGAATCTGCAAATTAGTGCACCGGATTCTTTAACGGAGCCAAACCGAACAAGAGCGAGAGAAATAAGAGAGATAGAATGAGAGAGAGAGGGGGGGGGGACAGGGCGGGGGGCGAGAGACGAGAGACCCAGGTCGGGTCGTTCGTGTTTAATATTCATACGCGACGCGCCACGATTTTGGCTCTCTACCTCCTGCCTTTACGCTTGGCCTTCAAGCGACCCGGCTCTCGTTTATTTCAACGCCGTCGTCCAGGGCGACGGACGTCGGAATTCGGACGCCACCCGAAAATAACACGTGGTCCGCGCAAAACAGGGACGCACCGGCGCACCTAAGCGGCAGATCGCCGGGTCGATCTTGCCGAGCACGGCGAGTCCCGACGCGATCATCACATTTTCGTTTCTCGGCTTTACGTATCATCCGGATGAGGATCGTCCTCGCTTAGAACGGCAGAGAAGAAGCCGTTGACATTTAAACTCGTGCCGACTGTCGCGTTCCGATTATGGTATCGGCTGATTTCGTGGAGCTACGTTGGTGTTCCTTGCCGAGAGAGAGAGAGAGAGAGAGAGAGAGGGGGGAGGGCGGGGGAGAGATATTTCAGTTTCTCTTTGTTCTTTCCGACGTCAGGGAGATTCGTGATATTATGACTGCGATGATCGATCCATCCCTGCCCGCGCTCGAGAGAGAGATACGAATTTCTGATCGTTCGTTTTTTTTTGAAGATATTTTTGGAGAACGCGCTCAAGATATCGAAAACGAAACGGACACCATCGGGACGGAGCTGCAGCGTGAAACAGGAGACACGCACGCACAGGAAAACAAGAGTCAGCTGTTGCAGCAAGAATCTGCGCGTGTGCTGGTATTTTAAATCTTGTTTTAACATATGGATATCGAATAGCGTGACTGTCAGTAGGCAACATATTTAGTTATGGAACTGAGGAAATAACAAACAACAGCGGAAGTTGGTTCAACCGAATCTCTGATGAAAAATAGACGAACCAGACAATGCCAGTTAATCAGAAATCTTGTTAAACTAATCAGAATTCCTGTAAATTCAGCTGCCGTTCGTTCGATTCGTTTGTATCTCCCCAAAAAATTGGTCAACCCAACCAAACCTCTCGTTTTTCTTCGCGCGTCAAATATACTTTCAGCAAGCCATGATTAACTGCGGCAGTGAAATCTCTTTTCTCCATGCGGCCGTCGTTATCGTCGCGCGTGAAGGAGGCGCGAAGGGGGGGGAAAAGGGAGCGGCGAAGTTCACCTCCCTACCTCCCTTCCCCTCCCCCTGCGATGTTACGCGGAGAATTCAAGACAGTCGTTAGTATGCTAATGAGTGTCCCTCGGTTCCTCCGTCCGTGGCCGCCTCTCGCGCGGCCGCTAAATTATTTCAAATATTTCCAAATGTCCGTCGGGGGAGGAGGTGGACTCGAGTCGGAGCTTAGAGATCGCGTCGGGCTGGGTGTGCTTGCCCCCGGTGTGCGCGTACACACCGTCCGTGTTCGTGCGTGTGTGCGTGAAAAATCGGTCGTCCGGCCGAGCACCTTTAATCCTCGCCGCTATACTTTCGTGACCCCCTCCCCCGCCGCTCCCGCCCGCTCGATATCAGGGGCCCGATGGCGCCGTTATATATCTCGCGATAACATCGAAACTCCGTGAGAGCGGCGGCCGTACGGCCGCTGCTCTCCGGCTGCTATATAGTTATACAACCGGTGACGTACGCGATACCGCGGCGATATTAATTTCCCGGACGGTATCGCATTTCGTACGATCATATCGGGCCATCCGCGCTCATTAATTAAACGCGCGCAGGGCGCGGGACACCGATTAATTTCACTTATCCGCGATTGATAATAACTATATCGCGGATCGACGGACGCTGAGAGAGAGAGAGAGAGAGAGAGAGAGAGAGAGAGAGAGGAAGAATAAAAAAAAGAAAGCAAATGCCTCACCGGCAGGGGCGTGACCGCGCTGAACGAAAGGAAGATAGAATCGTTGCGCGTAAGAGCAGCGAAGTCCGTCGCCCGAAGGTCCTCGATCGATCCCGTATAATAAAAAGCCTCCTCGCAGAGTGCGCGGTATAAATCGCGATCGATCGCGGGGATACCGTTATTTGAAGATGCCGCGAGCGCGATACCCGATAGATTTTTGACAAATCCAATTAAGAGACGCGCCTATCCCCTGGCCACATGGGGTACCCGAATCCCAGCGTGCGCCCGCGATATTCTGCTTCTCCCTCTCTCTCTCTCTTTTTCTCTTTTTTTCTATCTCTTTCTCCTGCCGGTTCATTCTGTTTCACGGGAACCTAATTGACCTAAAAGGCGTTATCTGCTACTCCGTCTACGAGGAAACCAAGCGCGCGCGCCGCAAGGGCACCAGAACTATTGCCCGTTGTTGCCTTAATGAGGTCCAATTACTATCGGATGGGTCACTTAGTATGCGGTACCGATATTCCACGGTGTAGCGCGCATTAGTGGGACGAGAGGACGAGAGCAAGGGTCAACACCCCGCGAAGACCCTAAGCGCGGCCTAACGAGACCCGATCGTCCGCTCTAGCGTGGTCGTCGTCGTCGTCGTCGTCGTTGTTTGTCGGTACGGTGAGCGCGCGCTCGCACATGTGCACGCGCACACGCACGCATTCCGGCGCACGTGCGCGCACAACCCGGAATCCACCTGCTGAATATTACTCGCTACTATGGCGATCCTTGCGATCAACACGCGGAAGCGAGTCGCGATCGAAACAAGATCCCTCTCCCTCGCCATCGTGCTTTCCCGCGCGTACTCCGCATTTGTCTCGAGATACCGATGTGTCTATTCTTTCGGGATAAGCATCTTCCTTCAGAGAATATAGTTTCGCGCGCGCGCGCAAGAAATAGAGAGAGAGACAGAGAGAGAGAAAGAAGCACAATAAAATGTAATTGATATATTCATAAAGGAAACAAATGCATGTTTTTCCTCTAATTAAAATTAATGGCTGCAGTTCTGGAAAAAGATGCACCCTTCGAAATTATTCTCACGAAATTCTCATGGAATAATCTGAAATACTTACGAGTGAACGTGTTTAAAAGGTTTCTTGGCGCAATCAGAAATCAGCCGAGATAATTGAAGTAACGGTTGTACCTACAATAGTGATGTAAACTGGATTAGATTAGATTTTTGCGGGGTGTAAGAGACGAAACCTCCCGTCATACGTTACTGCTGTTAATATCGGTAATTGCTTTTGATCTGTGAAATATACAACTGAAACTTGATTGATTTTTTTCATACAGATTTTTTTTGTGTCTTTCTAATATTCACATACGTAGTGCGTGAACTTTTGGAAATGACTACATTTATTATTTTAACTATTTTAACATTTAAATATGTACATTCGGGAGTATTTCGCCGAATTTCACAAGAATCGGCAAAGTGGACCTTCTGGAAACTACAGCCAACAATTAATTAAATGAAGAGTGCCCAATTTCTCTTTCTATCAACGATGTACCTTCGATGATCTGTTCGCGGACGCGATGGAGATAGCGACGCGCAATATTCGAAGGCGCGCCTTATCACCTTATCGACACGCGATTATTTTCGGAAGCGACCGCCGCGTGATTCGTCGTCGCCGAGGTGCGGAGAGCATCGCAGAAACGAGGACGATCCGGGATAATCGATTGGTCGTGCTCCGGGTCTCTCGTCCACTTACGGATTCGAGCCGGGCAGGAGATTTTTTTCTCGATTGCCTGTTTCGCGCGGGCGCGCTCGCCTTTTCCACGTGTCGTACTTTCTCACCTCTTTCGCTGACCGTGACGACGGCGACGGCGACGACGACGGCGGGGCAGCCCCACCACGTGTACCTTTTCGTCTTCGCCATCCGTCATGGCTTATTAAGTTCCCTCTTCTTTAAACTAGAGTGCGAGACGCCGTATGCAGCGCGCGCGCATACACGCCGATTCATCGCGGCCGGCGCGTCGCGACTTTTACGACACCGCGAGAATTCCTCGCAGCGGGCTAATATCGGGTAGGAAACTACTTCCGTCCGTTTCTTGCCCCACAGAGGCCTGCCTTCCCGTGGAAGACAACGCGTCAATAAATCACTGTCTCTCTTTCGCTTTGCCGCGTCGAAAATTGCGCCTGCGAGAGGTTTCATGGCGAGTCGATGTTCCGTTTCTTTCGCGCCGATTTTGCGCTCGATCGTGCCGCCGTCCCGCGGTAATTTCACGATGGAGAAGCTCACAATCGGATTACTCGAAGACGCGACGGAACCGCCACGCTCGGCCTCGTAATTACTTGACATCGTTGCTCTTCAAGAGCGTGCAGAATTTGCATCGCGGGACGTTACGTAACGCGCGCGGCTCCACGGCGACGTACGAGCTATAACACGAGCGTGTTATTCATGTGCGTGCGAATTCACGACCAACGTCACGTCGCAAAGTCCACGATCACGAAATCCAGTCCAGACGGCTGGATCGATGTGTTTCGCGGTCCAATTGTCCTCCCTTCCCTCGACAGGGAGAAACTCTCCTCTCCTATCTCGAGCGAAACTGCACTCGCGATTTCTTACCTTGCAACCCTCGCACGTGAACGCCCCGAAGTGGTAGCCCGCCGCCGGCTCACCGCAGACCTTGCACTGTTGGTTCATCTGCAATTATAGAAATTACACAAGTTATTCGAAGGATAAGAGATACGTCAGTCAGTCGGTCCGGCTCATCCTTGGAAGAGTCAAGCGACTGGTGGGGAGGCGAACCGGTTTCCTATGTTCGCTTCGATTTTTATTCCTCCCACGATATCTTACGGATGTTTGAACAGGATTTGGAGTACGAGAAAAATAGCTAGGAACATGGCGGAACTTCGATTACGCGGCGCTAATGACGTCGACGACGAGGAAGAGGAGGAGGAACAGGGAGAGCAGGAGGAGGATGAGGAGGAGGACGACGACGACGGAGCGTTCAAGGAATCTCTCTCGCACGCCCCCGATTGCTTTTTTCTCTTTCTCCCGCACCTGAATACTTTCCAAGTTACACGAAGAATCCGGCGTAACGTTCCCGTAAAGCATCGCGATGATGTATCGTAGCGGAGCTTTCGTGTTGTATGCATATATCCTTTCGCTCGGGCTCGGCGTTTCGGCGGGTCGAGGGGGCGATTAGATCTTCGGCCACGGGCCGTCCCGAAATAGATATCCGGGGAATCATTAGGTTCCCTTCTTTCCGAATCTATGTTTCCCCACCCTCTCTTTAATGCTCGAATCGGAACCCGTTTTAACCTGGCGGCGTGTCATAAATCAGCGCTATCTATCCGGCGAACGGTGCCATCTGCCCCGGGCAGCTCGGTGTCGCCGGGACGAGGAACCCATTTTTTTCGAGTAAACTGGAATAAAATTAGACCACTGATGGTCCCCGATAAGGAACTTACGGCCGGCGTTCCTCGTGGCGCGAGTGTGTTTCGATCATCCAGAACGCGGGGTATAAAAATCTTCGATCCGAAATTGATACGGGGGGAGGGAGGGGGCAGAGGGGGAGGGGAACCAGTTTCTCCAGGGAGAGTTTATGAATCGTCGCTTTATGGGACGTGTATCTCGCGCGATTGGAAACTTGGCCGCGCGGTCTCGTCGTGATTTCAACAAAACGATCGGGATGGCTCAAGATCCCGATGCATCTCTTTCTTTCAGATAACGAGTGTAAAAAGGCGGGTTTATAGGGACTTGACAGAGAGACAGAAAGAGAGAGAAAGGAAGAACGAACGAGCCGGAGGCTTCAGCCGAAGCAGTTTTACGCGAAAGTTGCCAACACTCAGCTCGTATCTCTCGCAAATGACGCTACATTGCGACAAGCCGCGCGTCCAGTGATACGCGAAGAGCGCGCGCAAAAAAATTAACTGCACTCGTCCGCGGGTTGGTGCGAGGTCGGAGTGGGACCATCTGCGGATTCGTTGATTTAAAAATACAGCGGCGCGCCGGCCGCGCGAGACGAGCTTCCCCGAAAGGACGCTTTTTTACGCGGGGGGGAGGGAGGTACTTTAACGAGAATTCAGAGTGACGGTAATTAGAGCTCGAATGTACGCGACGCGACCGCGTTCGTCGTCTAGTCGTGCTCTCTTTGTAATTGCGCCGCTCGGGGAAACGAGGAGGACGGAGACGAGAGGCGAAGAGGATGGGGGAGAGGAAGAGCCAGGCCCGCAGGTTCGTTAAGGTTTTCGAGTTTTTTTGCGACGCGGTCACTTGAAGAGTACTCTGGCCAACTCACCACTCCTACACGCACAGGCTCCTCCGACGAAGTGGAAGGCCGGTTGTTGTTACCGTCCTGCTCCTGCGGTAATCGCGCGTCGCGATTATTTTCCTCGATCGCCATCCAACGGGTCAGACGCTGATTCTTGTGCGTGCACTCTTAGGATTAGTCCAGATAGCAGATGGAGCGGACTCAGGCCGAACTGTCAATTCCTCTCGCGGCTGTAATATACACCTGAAACACGCAGAAGACACGGATATTGTCACGGAGTCAGCTCGACACGAACGTTCCACTGAGAAGTGCCAAGTCGTTCTGACCAGAGAGACTCGGTTAAGTGTATCGAAGAAGCCTATGATGACGCAGCTCCCATTAGTCAACGGGTTCATAATCGTAAACGGTCGCATTCAATTTTATCTTAATTTAATATTAATGTAGCATTTTCGACGTTAGGAAACGAAGAAGAGAAAAGGATAATAGAGTCATAATTGAATGACAATATAATGATAATATAATGTTAATTTAATACTTCACGAAAAAAGATTGAAATCAAAATTTGGTTAAAATGGGATCAACCAAATATTTGTGGATATATAAATGGTATATAAATTACACAAGAAAAAAAATTTCACTGCTGCTATTTTGCTTTACTCTCTCAGTAATAAATTGACTTAGTCACTAAGTAAGACAAAATGGAGGCGATTAAATCTTTTGATTGAAATTATCAAATATTTGGTTAAACCCACTTTAACGAAATGTTGATTTCGATAACCAGATCCTTCTTTGAGTGCGATTCGACGTCATTGCGAGCAAACTGAGGTGGGCAAACAATTCTTTCGAAACTCGCACCGCATTCCTCTCTTCCTAAAATTTATGTAAACGTGCCTTTTTCCAAGACGTCTCTCCCAAAGAGATCTCCTCGCTCGAAATATTCCACGTTCAAACGGATCACGAGCACCGACCGCTCCTACCTCTATATTCCTAACACACAAACATACACAGCATAGCCGAGAGAGTCCGAGAATCGGTCGCTCTAAGTGAGTCTAACAGTTCGGACACAGGAGAGACCTAATACAAAGACAAATAGAGCACGGGTATATATAACGGATCGCCACCGTATCGCGCGTGCTCTCGAGCAGCGACGAACGAATGAACGAACGAACGAACGAACGAACGCAGGAATGGCGAGATGTGTATCGCGATACGAAGAAAACAATAAGCGCGAAAGGTCGAGACGCGAGGCAAAGGTCGAGGCGCGAGAGCGTCGGAGGTGGAGCAATGGTGCGGCCGGCAAAAATCCCGTCGCCCTAATAACCGAGGGGAACGGAACGCCTCGAGGAGCGGCATACACGCCGTGATTTGCAATAAATCACAGAGCGCATAAGTCATGCCTGCCTGCCTGCCTGCCTGCCTGCCTGCCTGCCTGCCTGCCTGCCTGCCTGCCTGCCTGCTTGCCTGCCTGCCTGCCTGCCTGCGCGACGTCGCTCTGTATCCGCGCACTCCGTGAGCACAGTTGTAACCGGTAAACGGTACCATTTACGTGGCTTCGGGCCTATTGATTTCGCGACAAGATCGCTACGCGACTACTATCCGACGGTGGTCCACGGAGGTTAATGCTGCTGCCAAGGTTGACTCGTGTCGCGCACGGAAACAGGTCGTACACGACGTCACCTCGTTGCCTTCGATTCCGGGGAGGCCGCGCGAATTCCGCACGATCGCGATGCAACACTACCGTGTAGTACACGAAGAAGGTCGTCTCGACCGACGTGGGACACAGTTTCCGCGGAGACGATACACGCGGGGACCTCTCCCGATCTCGTCGCCCGGTGTCGTTGACTTCGCGACGAGGCGTACAACCACGCGCGTAATGGAGCGCGCGCGCGCGCGCGGTGAAGCAGGTGAGGCGCGAGAGAAGAAGAGTCAACGAAAAAGGGGCCCACGAGGCAGCCACTGTAAACACACGGCGCCTCGTGCCCCAGTTTCCATGAACGGAGTCAATATTTGCCCGGCACCGGGGCGTTAATGAAGTCGATCGCGCGGTACCTGCTCCAGATATCGGCTTACCGGGTCACGAGGGTCACGACACGTCGGCGACGACGTGGATGGCGAGTTCGAGTGCGACCATGAGGGTTGCGCGCGCCCGAGTCTGCGACCTCCGGGGAACGCTCCGCGTCGTGTCGTCGCGTTAACTCTTCCCGTGTGCATGCTCACACGCGTCTACGCGCCCGTATACCTGCGGCATGTACGGGGGCACCTCGCAGTTTACGCGCCATTAAACACGAGTCCCGTGTGACGTTTATCCCTTTATGAGGCTTTTTTCGCCGCGCCTGCAGCGCTTCCTTTGTCGTCGTCGCCCCTCTCGCGCTACCGTCTCGCAACCCTTTCTCGGGCCCGCGGCGACTTCGCGCGCCGCTCGATCGTTGTCCGCGGTAATCTTCCCCGGTAATCGACGGCGGAATTCCTGCTCCTTATGCGCGACAAGCTCGACATTGGCCGGCATCGACGGGGGATATATTCAGGCGCTTTCGTCGGGAGGAACGAACGTGCGATGTAGCGCCTTGATGTTTCGATTTATGAGCGATTCTTACTATTTTATTCTTCCTACTGAAACGTGTAAAGATAGTCGCGCTAAGTTAGGCTTCATTGGATAAAGAATCACGCTGTATAAGATAGACTATAGAAATTAAGCGGAATGCGGAAGTCTTATCTGCTTCAACTTGATGACTCGATTGGACTTAGCTGCTTGATCTAACTCTTTGACTGTTCGACATGCTTTACTGTTCGATTGACTGTTTCAATGAGACTTTCCGCACCACTTAGGACCAGACTTTAATTATTTAGATGGCGCGACATTATAAGCGTAAAATTATGTGCAGAGTTCCATCTCAAACGCGGAAAAAGAGATTCCATCGCGGCAGCTAATCGTGGTGTGTGGAAAATGCATTTGTTGCTGCAACTGAAATTTACTGAATAAGAATTTCGGTTGGATCCATCAAATTGAAGTTAAAGTTATCTAGTTGAAGTTATCAGAATTCTGTTCAAGTTAACAAGATTTCTGGAGAACTAGAACTCGCAATTGTTTCAACTTGAGCAGTTGTAAGTTCTGGTTAACCAGAAATCTTGTTTGGCTATCAGAATCTTGACTTGAACACATAATTCTGAAAACTTCAAAAGATATTTGATTGATCCAACCAAACTCTTTTCTTCGTATAAGTAAAATTTTTGCTGCTGTCGTTACTATTTTAGCTTCAGAACTAAATAGATACCCTACTGGCAGCTATACTTTTAGGTATCCGCGTGTTACAATGAGATTTAGTTATCACACACACACACACACACACACACAGATTCTTGCTACCGCAGCTTTTCTCGTCCGTAAATGCAATTGGAGCACAGCGAGACGCGAAATTAGTAAGAGCGCTTTCGAAATGCGCCAAGCGCAGAGATCGGCGCGAGTTGGAATAAAAAGCGAATTGCGTAACGTTCTTTCGACAGACAAATAGTTTTCTTGAACCTCGAGCTAGAGTTCATATCACTTCGAAGTTCTCGCATCGCAATAGAGTCATGAGATGACGGTCATAACAGACGGTAAAAAGCGCGTATGATTTATATGGGTCATATGACGCACACGCAAGACACACGCAGGCGAAACGGTAGGAAAAAGAAAAGGAGCGCAGAGGCGTTCTCGATCGTTCGCGACAACAGTTGTCGGGGGAGAGGAGGAGGTCGGAGAGGAATCATTGTTCGAGGAGGTGATGGAGTGAAGTATATGGAACTAATGACGAGAGTGGGCCGCTACCGTTCGGAGAAGGTGGACGATTTCTCGGACTCATTTCTCGAGTGTTTACCTCTCGGAGCGCGAAGATCCTTCGCGCGTGTAATGGTGCTAATTTCGAACGCGCTCGCTACGAATAACCGCGCTGTCGGCGAAGACAGCGGCGGAAGGGATCGCCCGTTACGAGGAATCTAGTTTTACGTGGTGATTTGCGCAACGCGCGCACATTACCGGGGTGTAATCACTTTTCCGCGGCCGTTCGCAGGCGCGTCCCCGCGTCGTTATAATTCTCCGCGGCAACGAGAGTACACATTAGAAACCGCGGCTTTGCGCGATATAATTAATCGGCGGTGTATTAATTCGCATATTTATTGCCGCGTTAAGAATGAGCACTTGATTACTGTCCGGGGCTCGGCGTGATGTACGGCCGGCGATTTTTCTCGGTACGTTAATGAGTTAATGAATCTCTACACGAAAGAACGGGCCGATATATCACCCGGGATACGCGGCGGCGTACTCGTCGAGGTACACGAAAGTTCCTCGCGCCCAAGTCTCCTCCTCCCCTTGGCCGAGTTTCGATATTATCGGTGTTTAATTATGCGCTGAGGAATTATACGCGCGAATAAATGTATACACCGTCGTGTATAATCGACCATTACCGGATTACATAAAATAAACAGGATCTTGTGCGCGCGCGTGCGAGCGTCCAGACGGAAAAGAGTGCGAAGTGCCGACTTCGCGCGGGAGGAGATTTCGACGCGCCATCGCCAGGGAAACTGGTTGTGTCGCAATAACATCCTCTTCCGTTTATGGGCGATGATAGAAGAGGAAGAAATTTTCGAAAGTACGTACGCGAGAATTCCGCGTGAATAGCGACGTAATAGAATTTCAAATACTCTTTCGCAAAAGTGCGATCTTCACGTGATATCGTCGTACTTCGCAGCGAAGGAGCAGATAAGCACGCGAGATCGTCGAACTAAAAATCCCGGAAAAGCTTGGAGGAACGATGCGAGATGCGCGCGTTTCACGCAATTTGTATTGGCGTCGATGCGTTTTTAACGATCCGTTTGATGGATGGTAACTGCTCATTCACGGGCGCGTCGGTCGAATCCTTGAAAAATGATCCTGCGCATCGGCCTGCACACATCCCAGCGGGAGTATATAGACGTAGTGATGCACTGATATATACAGGGTGTGTCGAAGTAAGATCAACGTATGCTAACAAAGGTTCAGGTATTTGCAGGCGACGCTGGAATGATGGTTAATGCAATACGGGGAAACGATCGTTGTCAAGTTAGAGACGAATGCGTCGTTCGTTGCTAATTAAATTTCGGGAATGCAAACCTGGAGTGTATTTTTTGTCTGGAGATGGAATCGTTGCATCTCGACAAGATTCTATTTAAAATTAAGTTTCAAAGAGTACTAATGTCTGCATGCTAATAACACTGGTACTCAACTCATTTCTACTGTTTTCAAATACGAATATTTTTTAAACTTTCAACGTGAAGTATATGTATGTACATATATTCTATTTTAAAAGTTAAAATATTTATATTTAAAGACCAAAACACAATAAGAATGTCCAGATTTAGGTACTGGTGCTATTAGTGTCCAGGCATTGACACTTTTTTTTCTCTTGCTGTTATCTCCGAATATCGATCAAGACTTAAGAAACGATAGTGAAGATTTTGTATCGCGCGACTTTTCATACACCCCGTATATATCGTCCACGAGCATATGGCAGGGTGGATGTTCCTTTTCGGTTAATATGTTTTCGCGACCTACAATGCGCCCGGCCGGGAGCCAAAGACAATTAATAACCTTCCGCAGGATCATTTATCGCGACAGTTTAGCCTCGCGTTAGAGGAACGAGCTCGTCCTTCAGGCGTCCTCACAGGCGGGCGCAGGTAGCCGAGCCGTCGTCGTGGACGATATTGTCTGTCTCCTCGAGCCGTGACCGATCCGATTTTTAACAGCGATTTTCGTCCGCCACTCGACAGAGAGAGAGAGAGAGAGAGAGAAAGAGAGTCAATCGAGGACGCTCGCGACCCTCTCGCACTTGTGGGAATCGCGATGGGTGCTCGACGGAATTCGTTATGCCCGCGTATATGTCCTCGTGCATGCGAATGCGCCGTCGATGTGCACGTGCAACGTCGCTCTCTGATGCTCTCTAGCCGGGAGAGCAGCTGCTCCTGAGAGAGCAGGACGCGAGGGCGCGTCGCGACCGGCACGTTTCGCAGCGCCGAATGAATACGTAACGCTGACGGAACGACGATAACCTCCGATGAAAAAGGAAAGAATTGTTCGGCAGGATCCTCAGCGAGGAAAAATCAATCATCGATTCGCCGTGAATCGACCGTAACGTGGAGTTTGAAAGAAGAGAAGAGAGACGAGGAAGAAAGAGAGCGAAACAAGTCGGAGTTTTTCGCGAGACACACGAGCGAGTGAACGTTTAAAGGATCGAGAACCCACACGTCGCTTGTGTGTATGCGAAGCGGCGCGTTGCATGCGATTGTGACTAAGTGGCGATCCAGATCCGCCAAATAACGCACCTCGCGTGATCGACGGACTCTGCACGGTCATCTAAATTGTGTTACGTGTGGTGATTTACTCATATGGAATTTCGTTGCATGTCAACACATTGTAACTGAGCGTTTGTCAGCTCTTTTTTTGCGCTTCTTGAGACAAGAGACCAAACAAGAGACATGGCAAAATCGCGAAATGCAACGACTACATTCACCGTTGGCTAAAACTGACCAATTTCCGTGAATTCAGGCAAAAATGCCCAGACACATATTTAATCTTGGATATCCTTATTGTTTTATCTTTAAATACAAATATTTGAAAGGCGTATCATTTCCTTTAGAGTGAATTTTTTCTTTTTTTTTTAATAAGATATCTAGATCTTTCTCTTTATTTCTTTGAAGAATTTTAAGAAATTGAATACAAAAGTAGTTTAAGTGGATCAGAACAAATCTAATGTTTTAGATTTCCTAAGATTCACGAAACTTCGCCGCGCAATACTACTTAAAGGATTAAAAACCAAACCAATAAGAGTATCCAAGATTAGATACGAGTTAAAAAAATTATTACTTTTGCCTTACATCAAAATCCGAAAATCTATCGCAACTTGAAGATCGTAATCGGCAAACTAATTCCCGAAACTCCGCAAGAAAATCATAAGCCGGTAGCCCTGGACGGAATTCGTTAAATAACCCTGCGTTACAAGGGAGGGAGCAACGGTTCGCTCGAATAAAAGCCCCGGGTTTTATATCTGTCTTCTGCTGGCTGCGAGACGCGCGCGAGAGAGACCGGTACGCCTCGACGGTGCAATTTAATCTCCCTTTATTTGGCGATTAAGCGCGCCACCATTGATTTATAATCTCATAAAAGGCCGAAGGCACGGTCCTGTAACGACGCCGGCAATATCGCCAACCGAAAGAGCGTTTGTGAAGGCTGTTCTCCTCAACGTGCGCGCACGTGTGCATCGTGCTCGCGCAAGCCGGGCGATTTAAATGCGATTTCCGTTCGAGGACAACGTTTCAGATTTCGCGCGCGGAATGCCGCCGCCGCGGAAGTGTCGAAAGTTCCCCGGACGTGAAACTCACGTCCACGCGAGGCGTATGTGGAGCGACAATGCGTGTCGTGGCGGGATGCAAAAATCCATTAAGCCCGTTCGAAGCGCGCGTTACTTGTCGCGCTTGAGCGCGAGTGCGTATATTCGCGAGTGTCTGTCATCCTTGCACGCTTGGCGATAAGACGATCCAATTGTCCACTCAGCGCGACCGTTTCTCAAAGAGATACATCGTCGTGCAAACGGAAGCGAGGTCGAGTGTGGATCGTTGTAACGTGCAATTCATCGTCGGGCGAACACAAAGAGCATCGGATTAGATTAGAAAAGTAACGGGTAATTTGCGTGCGCACCGTTAAACGCGCGGCTTTTGAAAGCCGTACGATCCGGATAAGATAAGGAGCGACATTTCCATGCCTTCGCACGTTTCACTCGAGGCAATCTCCTTCTTTCTTTTGTTCTTTATTTCTCTCCTTTTGTTTCTGTCTTGGTTGCGTTTGTTTGTTGCTGATATCGCGACGAAATATTTGTTAGTATTTTTTTAATATAACTAAGCTAAAGCTTAGCGTAATGTCTTACCTCAGGACTCGTCAAGTTTTTCATGCGAATGCTGATTTAATGCGCTTGAAGACGACGACGATGATAAGAAGTCGTTGATTCGCAAAAACGAGGAGCGAGCAGTTTCGCGCACTGAAAAATTTACGACGCGCTTTTTCGCCGGATTAAACGCGACGTGACCACCGTGCGAGAGGGTTGGATCTGCGGGATACCGGATTCTTAATCGAGCATTCCACCTATGCGCTTTGCCGTCGCGATTAGGTCAGGGTCTCGGGCTCCATTCGGAGAGAATAGGACAAAAAACATAATACGCGTATTTGTCACGACTTCTTGGTACTTACCGCGACTGTTGCGGAGGGTAGCAAGGCAAGAAGCCGGCAAAAAGGCGTTAAGTCAGATCACGACCCCGTGACGACGACGAGCTACCTCGGAAGGGGTTAATATGCAAATGAGATGCGACGCGAGACTTGGACGACGCTTCAGGTCGAAGAGCGAAGGACCGCGGCGTCTGATCTCCATTTGTCTCGCAGAAATGCGTCAATTGTTCTCGTTTTTTGCTTCTGTTTCGCTCTTTCAACTGACTTCTTTCTCGTTTTCATCAGAATATCCATGAGCTGACCGAATAAATACTCATTTGTCAACGCTCGCTTTTGATGTCGCTTTCTCTTTATCTTAGAAATGTATTCAGCACGTATTCAAGTACCTCCCCCCTCCACGTTCGTGCAGCAAAAAGGCTGTTTGGAAATGTCGAAATTTATCAGCCGTGTGAGTTATCTTATCGATAACGCGCGTTTTTCGCAGCCACCTAATCGCAACGATGCGATTCGCGGATGGTCTCTCGCGTACGATCCGCCAAAATAAAGATACGTCCCTGAGAGATCGCAGCGAACATGCAAAACCCGTCGCGCGAGTGCACGCGTGCACGTGCGTGCGCGGAGCACAGATCGCGACGCGAGGAGGAGAGAGAATCGCGATTCCCTTGGTGGACCACTTCCCTTGGCGCGCACGGATATACAAGTGGGTAATAACCGTATGAAAAGGTAACAAAGGTGGCTGACGCACCGCCGCGATCGGCGGTGAAAAAACGGAGCAAACGGTGAGGCGCGCGGGCAGGGGGAGAGCAATAAATATATTTTGACATGGGAGACTCTCGGCGGTCTCATGCATAATAATTGTAACGGTCGGTCTCTCTCGCACTTACGGTAACAATGTATGCATGCTGGCCCAAGTGTCGTCGCCCTGGGGCCCTTTGTGTCGCAGAATTACGATATAGGCTACATACCAGTAGGCAAATATTATAGCAACAGGCGTCGGGACAGGCGAGGGGTGACGGTAATGTTTTCATTTGACGCGACTAACCTCGACTAACCGCACGTGAGAGATCACACACTGAACCCCGTTCGTCTCTCTCTCTCTCCCTCTCTCTCTCTCTCTCTCTCTCTCCCTCTCCCTCTACCCTTGCTTTCCCTCTCCCCCGCTCCCCACCAGTCGGATATCTCGAAAGCACAAAAGCCATAAAAGCTACCTAGGGGCGTGTCGGGGGGACGAGCATGCCTCTACTGACGTTACCAGCGACACGTGGACGAGCACCTACGATATGAACTCTACATTCAGATTTTTTTTATATCTGGTTAAAAATGCTGCAGGTCAATCGGTATGATCGACTAGTGGCTTAAAAACGCGAATTAATACTAATAATAATAACAATTCGTTGAGGAAGATGAGGAAAGCTTTACAAGCGAGCGTAAAATGATTGATGATCTTATCGCGCGTATGTAACAAAATATTTTAAATAAATGAAGGATTTTTATCAAAAACTCAAAAATTTCATGCGTCTGTCAACCTTTCACTGCATTCTGCAGTGTTCCTGTGTCATGAAAAAAGAAAACGTTAACATCGAGTATTTTATCGTGATAACACGCGATTTCGCGACTGTAGACTTCAATGGCCGGCACGCGATATCTGCCGATAGATTTTAATGCCCGCAGTGGCTGACGTACCGCGCGACAGATAACGAGATTACTCACCTTAATTGATGATCGGTGTTCGCAGCAGCGCGAGCTAGCCGGTTCTCCGCGGAATCACTAAATCAACGACAACAGCAGTCCCTGAGACGACCACCCGAGTCTGTAGACACGCATTACACACTGCATATAATGTTGCTCATGAAACAATTTATTCGTCCTTATCGTTCAAATTTCCAATCACACACTGGTGCCGTTGTCTCGTCCCGGAAAGTCTTCTTGAAAGGAAAAAGTCTCGTTCACTGCCGTAACCGTGGCTATTTTTCGCGAGATCCAATTGTTGTTGAGTAGACAATCGAACCCGTTCTGTCCTGGACGTCGACTGTCCCTGATGTGTCTCAACAATCGTTTCGTTTCTGCCACCGACTGCACCCGAATGCGATATCGAATGTGATCCTCGCACAGCTCCTCGTCTTGCCTCTGTCTATTTTTCTCTCCCTCCCTCCTATCCCGGGCGCCTGTTATTTCCCCGTTGTATCCTCGTGATTCTTTTTCCTCTACCTCTTTTCCTCCCACGTCGCTGCCTCGTGATCGTGATTGTGTACACGAGGTGCCTCTCCTCTTTCTATCTGTCTGTCTCTCTCGTACGTACGCGAGTGACGGTGCGACTACGACGATGGACGGGAAAGGACTGGCGCTTCTCGATCAGTGCGACCTGTTCGACTGCATCACCTGAGAACCGTGCTGTACGGAACTGTACAGCTTTAAACTCCGTGTAGTAAGAGCCATCTGGAGAGGCTATCCGTCGGTTGAGGCCTGTACTTTTGGGCCCGCCAACTGTCCCAATTGTGATCCGATTGGTCGACCAAACAGTCCGTGGCGGTACTAGGGCCGTCCAAGTGCCGCCCATCGGGCCCCCACCTGGCTGATTCCACCACTCTTGGATGTCTTGAGCCTACCTGCCTCCGCAGATTCTGGACATTGCATCGCACTGTTGATGCACATTCCCTCGCTCGCCGATTGCAACGGTGGAAATGTGGTCTGCCCAACGACGAATGAATATCCGCTCTTTCTACACGAAGGAAATATTACAGTTTCTCGCTTGATTATTATAGCTCTTTTCATATAATTTTTTTCAATTTTATATTATCTTTATGCACTAAAAGAGAAAAAATATAAATAGTAAACATTTCTTTGATGAATGCTATATAATAACATATTTATGTAAAAACCTAAATTTATTCATTTCAATAAAATAAATAACTGTTTTCACAAAAAGCTTTCTTAAGGTTCAACAGGTTTTCTTAAAATAAATAACTGTTTTCACAAAAAGCTTTCTTAAGGTTCAATAGGTTTTCTTAAAGTTCCAGTAAAATGTGCATTTTTTATTTAAAAAATATTTTATATATCAAAGAGAAAGTATAAAAGTAAATTTATATATATATATATATATATATATATATATATATATATATATATATATATATATATATATA